TCACACTTTCAATCGCGAATGACGATGCTGCTTCTGCTTCCTGCCTTGTTATCTGTGGATAGTGGGCGCCAACCAAGTACCCATGCTTCATCCTCAAGGACAAGTTTTGTAAAAGTACCACGGCCCGACTGCCTACGTTTTCCGGAAAGCTTGCGAGGCTAGGGGAAGAAGGGAAGAACAATCACCGGCTACATAAGAAAATAAAAAATTGGATACTGTCACGAAGCTCTGTATATGCCCGACAACCGGCATGGGGCTCTTGGCACTCTATCCAATCTTTTCAGGATTTCGTTTCTCGGGTCCCCTGGACCCCACACCGGGGCAGTCTCCGAAACGTGTTTGTACTCTTGGTATGCTACTTGTCTGATTCCCAAAAAGCGATATATGACAGGCCCTGCACAATGCTGTGTGGCCTGCAAAATTACGGGGCCGGGCCCCTGTATCGTCGATTTCAATATCACGGCTCTGTTCCAATACGACGGCTCTGCGCATAGGGCTCATGCTCGACTGCTGGCTGAGAATGAAGGCGGCCCACGTACGTACGAAGTAGGCGTCTGGGTTGTCCTTGATGCGGGGCATCAAGGAATCGGACGGACGGTTCTTCTTCTGCCCCCCATCTATTAGTACAAGTCAACTGATCGATCGTTGATTTCATATATCGATTGGCCAGCCGCTGATGGTCAGGTAGATATTATCTGCACAAACTTATCCTAATACGATACACCCCGGAGTGGACCTGGAGAGCCGCGGATGAAGAACACCCCTGTACCGTGCTTGGCAAGCACTTGTCCTGCTCCGTGCAAACTACTGGTCCTAGGTTCATGGTTGGAATTCGACCTGTCACAAAACTCGCCAGATTCGGATATGGCGACCGGTCAACCCCCTTGGTATGACTGAACAGAACCCAGCCTCTGTACACTCGGCAATCCGATGTCCACCTCTGTAGTGTAAGCGAGCTATAGAGACCATCCAGCAGCGGGCCGCCATGAATTTGTTGGTGTGATGAATGTGGTCCGTCTTATCACCTCATCTCTACCAAAAGAATGGGTCGACGTGAGAGACTATGGCTTACGAAATCCAATTACAGTAAACCCTCTCGTGCCATTTGTGCAGCCTACTTTATGGGCTAGTCCCAGCTTGCACAGGCAGCGAAGCACAATACTTACTGAAGATGCTCCAGTGACCGTATATAGGGCGTCCCTCTGGCGGCGAACCAGACTATCGTGAACGCCCAAGACAATCAATACCTCATGGTCACATCTCACAGCTCAGCTCACGGGCCAGAATATCGCACTATAGTCTCCTTAAATCAACATCTATGGGCTGAAGCAATCTGATTCACGGCCAGCTGGCCGACTGGGCAAGACATCGGATCTTGAACCAGGACAATGACCAGGGCAAGCCTACTGGCAACCCGTGTAGATCGCATGGCCAGATGCAGATGTGTGAGCCAGATTGCCGGGAACGAATGAGAGCCGTGTCAAAGGGGGTTCGATCGTTCTCGAAAGCATGGGGCAGCGAAGAAGCAAAGGGTCACCCAAAGCCCACACCCGGAGCCAAGGAGGGCGTCGTCTCCTCCCTGCTGTGTGAAGATGCAGCATTCCCATGTAGGTTACACGACAACGTGGTTGACAGATACTACTGTTGTAAGCCTGTCTCTGCTCGGACCCCCTTCCGATCATTGGCCTTATGTAACTCGTGCTTTCTTTTGCCTCTTGGTCGCTACGAGGTCGAGGCGTCTCGCACCATGTGTCAGCTCATTTCCAGTGGAACGTGCCGTTCCCGCGCAAGCCACGGTTGTAGATCAGTCGACTTGCCTGCCCGAGTCCCAGTGCTAGGCCTAGATGCATGCCAGTTGCCTGCGCCAGGCTGGCTGACAGGAACTGCCAGATTCGGATGCCGGCACACCAGAGACGCATGGGAAACCAGTTGAAGAATTTCGGCAGCAGATCTGTGCCTTTACTACAATGCCTGCCAAGATCATCATATACCTTGATCAACAGCCACACCAGCTGAGCAAGCAATGATAGTCGGGTTACTGGAAGCTATATTTCCAAGAGCTGCATAATAGGTCACTGTCCTTTACCTTGCAGCATCATAAAATTTAAGGTTTGTCCCGCATGCAGGGAGATCGAATCCTTCATACCAATTGAAGTGCTCGGTCCTCTGGGATTCGTTCAGCTGCGAATCGTCTTCTACAAAGTACATGTATACGCATTTTCCACAATGACAAGAGGGTCAGCAACAAGATATTCGACATGGCACCCTCGACATCGGTGCATCACGACGGCATCCCCGAGAAAGTGTATTGTCCTCAACAAGACTCTGGAAATTTCTTTTCTGCCGTCTGTCCGTACGGACGTACCCACCGGCGTCTCACACGGCCTCGTTTCTATGATTCATCTCCTGTTCCGTTCTAAAGAGGTGCCGATCTTGGTCCCTTCGGCGTGTGAGCGGGTATCACCCGCCCGCACCATCCAATCCAACTCAAACAAAGAACAAGCAATTATTTGGCGGCGCACGCGCAAGGTTGACCGTCGTCTGCAAAATCCATAGAGGACGCCGACATGATGGATACCACGGCCCTGTAATCTATGAGCCGAATCTACCACACCTGTCCTCTTCTCCACCAGTCAGGCTTTTTGCTTGTGAAGGCATTGATTGCCAGCATCAGATATGGAGCCAGGAGCTTGGAGATCTGCTGACGGTTATTCCCATCGCACCAATAATCCCACGGACGTTGATCAGTGATTTCGATGCGTCTCACGAGTTTTGTATATGTACTACTGCTTGTGGGTTTGAACCGAGAGATTTGTGAGACCTTGAGCTTTCTAGGTACATGGGAAGAAATCCATGGCGGAGAATGAGAGATGCGTGGCATTTTTGGGCTTGCAGCCACCTCGCCAGCGATCTGATCTGGCATCTCGCGAAACAGTTTTCTCTAGATCGTCTACCCCAACTGATGCGGGCCTGGACGAAACAGGGGAGAGAAAGAGTAAAAAGCAAGTATACTGTTATCAAAGATTTGTGTGGAGCCAGATGCTGCGAGCCAATGACATGATGATACTCGGTATGTCAAGCCAATCCCCGAAAGACTTTCTGTACCCCCATTTTGAGGTAAACTTGGCATACCCAAGGGAACAGAATACTGCCGGGTACCCTAGTATTCTCAGCAAAGACCCTTGAACTTTGTCCACCTACTGCCTGTTTCTCCTCCGAAATTTTCTCCCCTTTCGGTTATCTCCTTTGCAGTGCGGATAAAGTCAATTAACGAATCTGCTAACCTTGGAAAGTACCTATATGGCTGGGAAGTGAAAAGAAAAGAAGAGGGACTGGAGCGTGAGAGATTGAGTTTGGCCGGTGTGGGAAGAAAAAAAAAAGATGACCCATACAATCTCAATCTGGGCAAATCCTGTATGCTCGGAGCCGCGTCTTGGCCCCCATTCTATATCTGACCTATAATCAGATGTGCCAATTATATTCTATTATTGTAAGGGACTGATACTTACTTCTCTCTCCCCCCTCCTTCCACAGCTGATTTCTTCTCTACCATGAAACTCCATCTCTTGCTCTCCCGTGCTCTATCCGTTGAAAATGAACTTGTCCGCGCCTAATTCGTGTTCCAAGTCTACGTCACCCAATATACCTGTTGTGAAATCGGCTGTGACCCGGAGTGATACTCTCTAGGTTTTCGGGAGAGTACAAGCCTTTGTTGCCCGGTGGATTTTCATTTGTTGCACCTGCATACATGGAGGTATACGTGGATACTGGATCTTCATCTCGGCCATAGGGTACTATGTATACCGAAGCCCCAACTTTTCAATAGTGTCAAAAGTGGGTTTTGCCTTGTTCCTATCCTCAATTGGGGGGGATAACCACATGATTGTCCCCAGGATCTTGCTTGCTTTGATCTGAATGGGCAATGGATATCAAGAAAAGGTAAAAAGATATGAAAATCTTCACCCAACATCTGCTGTAATATGCAACAATATGCAAGCATGGGGGCGTTCAGTGCATATTTTTGCGCGCAGCCATTTGTCTCGCTCGTATTCGCTAGCGGACGTGGGTCCGGCTTGGCATTTAGCATTGTTGGTTTGTATTCGTACAAGGATTTTTGTCTTTACTGATATTTTATTTTTCTTTCTTTCTTTCTTTTTCCATGTCTGCACATGCCTATGTTTATTTTCTTTTCTTTTCTTTCCCTTCCTTTTCTTGGTTTCAATGCCCCACTCCCCTTTCTCTCATACATACACACTCTAGGATTTTGTTTCGTCCCAATCCTCATCTTGACCATTTTCCAATTTTATCCTTCATATTTCACAAACGTCAAATGCGCAGCCTGGGTACCAGGACCCAAAGAGGAAAAAAAGGCGGAATAAATAATACATGTGTGTGCTTAGTCACTTTGCAAATCTCGCAATGTCTTTCCCAATGCAATACCCTGGGTCCGATCCGATTCCGTGATCCGTTGATATTATTCATCTTGACATAAGAGTACTTTCACCCCCTTTGTATCACCAGCGAAATAAACAGCGCTCTGTCACTGCTTCTCATCTTCTTAATGTAGTATGTATTGTGTAAAGCAGTACAACATTTGGGTTACGCGAGTGCACTGTAGCACCGCTCCATCCTGGGTATCCTGACAAAAATTTTCCGCTTGCACCGCATATGTCACAGTAGCAATAAATGCACCGACCAAAATCGGTCATGTCCTCCTCTAAGAGGTATCCCAACACATCCTGTAGTAATTCCCCATATGCGCCGGCTTGCCATCCCATTGTCCGTAATTCTAATCCCGAAAGCAAACTCCGTAAACCCATAATAAAAAAGCATACCTATATACATGGCCGATCAATCTGCAAGGCAAAGGACTCTTGCACCATACCCAAGTGCAAGTGCAAGTTGTGCAGCCATACAGGGCTGTGTACAAGTTCCTTGCTGCTGAAGAGAGGGGCCCATGGCAACGTTGAGCCCGCCCCTTGACGTATGTACGTTCAAGGTCACCGCAACTTCTTCATAATATGGACGAGGAGGACGCCACTGGTCTCATTGCCCTTTGGGCTCATGAGGTGTATAAAGCGATATCCCGTCTGGAGGCGGTCGAGACGTATGCATGCCCAAGCGGCACATGGACTGCTTATCAGGCCTGACGCGGCATCCTCGACCTTGAATCTATGTGCAGCAGAATGGTTAGCAAAAGTATCTATGCATATAGTATATCATGTAGTGGTAGCCTGGAGGGACATGCGTCAAGGCCCGGTTGCACAGCAGAAACGTTGGTGCAGTAGAGTTGGGCTTTCAGCTGGTCGTTGAGTGATGAGCGGTCAGAGACGGCTGCCGACATGCTACAGGCTGTAGATCGTACGTCTCTTCCTGCAGCCTGCGGCACCATCTTGCATATTCCGGCTGATCGCGGGCCATACAATAGGACCAGCCACGGTACTCGAACGGACTGCTGCACAAGCCAACTCAAATTCGTTTTGCTTGCCCAACCTGCCCAAAGCGAGCCATATGCGATTGGCCATAAAAGAGAGGCGGAGGTATAATGGCAATATGTAGGCACGCGGTTGTTGTTGTTGTTGTTGGGGGAAAAGAGAAAACGCGGCTTTTCGAACAAAGTGGTGAGGTGCCTGGGGACTGGCTGGGACTATGGGAAAACCATGGAGGAGATTTCTTACCTGACGAAACTCAGCTGATCAACCACATTCGGAACCTTGATGAACTCAAACATGTTCTGATGGTTTCCAAAGTCTGGGTGATCAGTCTTTCCCGAAGACGTCTGTTGTTTCCTCGTGATGACACGTGTGAGGCCATTGGCCTCGGGACGCTCGTCTTGTTTTTCAATGTGCAATTCACACTTGACAAAGGGGCGGAATGCCCTCGTGTTGCCGCCGCTGCTCGCACCCTCTGCAGGCAGGGGTATGTACTGACCAGCGAGGACGCGGATTCGCAAGTCCAGGTTATGATGAGGAACATCATCATATGAGATCGTCTTACTTGCGTCCTCGCTGCGGAAGCCCGGAGGCTTCAATACCCATCCGTGCTCTCCAGCAAACATGCCTTCATTGAGCATCATGCCCTCGTCCAACGATTGCCAATTCATGGCAACCATCTGGACACCTTTTCGCCAGAATAATGAGGGATCCATGTTGGAGGAATCATAGCGCATTCCCTTGGGAAATGCTCGCATAAAGTAATTGCGATTGTGTTGGAACATTTCCTTCTTCTTGGTCGTATGGAGATCCAGAATCCTGGTCTCGCTAATGGAGAAGATGTGAGAAGGGATCTTGGCAGCGTGAGTTTCAAAGGCCTTGAAATGCTCGCTGTGAGTGTAGACTGCCAGTGCGCTGAGAGGCTCGCCAATGAGAGTCTTGACCTTCTTCACAGACCTCTCGTCATCGGAACTGCCAGCTTCGTCTTCCCAGGTCGTTTGCGGCGCAAGAATTGAGCCGGTTCCTGATTCCGGCGTTGAAGCTTTCTTGACCTTGATCAAGATCTTGTTGAGCAGCTCCTCCAGGCGCGGCTGTCTCTCCTTGGGACAGCCATCGTGGGGCTTCTCTACTAGTAAGCCTGCCCATTCCTCCTTCATGATCTGAACCATGAGCTCTTGTTGCTCAAAGTCGCAGTGAACCTCCAGACTGATGATGATTGGTAGATTGCTGGTCTGGAACGCGCTCTCACGCACGGCGCGGCAGACCTCCCGAAAGCCAACCGGGGATGTGAGTGTATACCCATGCATGACGATGGGTTCGTGTCTTCGAAACGTTTGTCTCGACCTTGCCCGCTCCTCATTCTCCTCTTCCCTCTCCAAGAGCGTCGAGGGGTCCAAAGTCGCAGCGCTCTCACGACCAAAAGGGTGTGTTGCGACTCTCCGACGGAAAGAGCCTCTACTTCGGGGCGGAGTTTTCTCTCCGCCGTTGATGAATTGCTTTGCGTGCTCAATCTTCTCCTCCACAACATCGACAAACGTTGCGGCGGCGCTGTGCAGGCTGCTTCCCGAGAGACCACGGGCGTGTTCTGGCCTTGACGGTGTCTTGAGGTTGCGGTCGGGGCTTGAACTAGGGGAATCGCCATTCCAGACGTCTATCTCGACACATCGACACCCGCGTCGTAGAACCTTTTTGTAGATTTCCACACTGCTCTTGGACTTTAGTTGGTCGCCGGTCAAGTACGTATTGTGACTGCTGCTGATAAAGTAATTGCTGATGGGCTTGGACAAGTCCTTCTTTGCCATGTCGACGGGCCTATTTGCGTTGAGCCCGTAGTGGAACCACCATTCCTCTAGAAATTGTTCATACGTGTATGCTTCTCTTTTCAGCTCTGGCGCGGCCTCGCCCTGATCGCCAATGAGGAATCGTTCAAATTGTTGTCGGGTGAGAAAGCGTTCCTTGTGCCGCAGATCGTCGTAAAGCTTTCTGAACCGTTTCTGGATGACGGCGCTCAGATATATATCCCCCCTACCGTCAGAGGTACCGTCGACATTGAGGCGCACGACGGTCGGGGACATGAACATGGCCAGATCAACTGCCCTCTTGAGGGCTTGGACGGAGCGGACGCCATTGACGGCATTGATGGTGAGGCGGCGGCCGAGCGGCTGCGTCTCTTTGGACTTGGTGGGTTTTCGCGTCTAGAGTTGCAAATTTGCCAGTCAGCAATCAAGTTGGCTTCAGGTATATGTCGGACAATAGTCTGAAAGCCTATACCCACCACGAAACACATTGCTTCTGCTGCTTTGTCGTTGCCGACCCAGGACACTGGTTCTGTGACTTTTACGAGCCCTGAAATATTTCGAGTAGAAGGTTTTTAATATCAGGAACCGAGGGCTGCGTTCAAAATGTATTTCAGCTACGACATGCTGTCCAGTTCTTTGGAGCCAAGGCGTCTCAGCTGACGAGAGAGCGAGACCGACGTGTTGAACTTTTGGCTGATAAGGGGGGAGGCGACGGTTGTTTCGAGGAAGGGCCCCTTTTTGTAAGTAAAAGCTGAACAGACAAAATACACCGCTGGAGAAAGTGTTGAATCAAGTCTAAAAAGAGGAAGAGGAAAGAGAGAATAAAAGGTGACAATGCATATGTAAAAGAATTGGATCGCGGAAGAAAATCAATGGGATCGCTTCCAAAGGGTCAGGTAGGTCAAGTCAGCTTCTCCATCATCTCAAGCCAGTACCCGTACCTAGCAGCCAGAGTAACATGGGCCAGCTACGTACCGTACCATACTAACCGTGACCCGTCAATAGCAGCAGCTACCAAGCTACATTTAGGTAGCTAGCAGGGGGCAAGACATGCAGTCAGCTTTCAAGGTTCAAGCAGCCTCGTCCCCGCCAGCATGGGTAGGGTGGGATGGAATGTCTAAGATGGGGACCGCTCGGCGTTGGAATTCGATGTTGCACCAGTGGGTTGGTTCCAGTGGTTCTTGGGTCTTGCGGCGATCCCATTGCCAGGCAGCCCCCCCCCCC